GTAATTCTTTGCTTATATCCATTACTCTTCTCTAATTGATACCAGTGAGTTCCGTCATCTCTCTTTAAATAAAGGCACGTGTAGAGTGCAGCCTTTATGTTGACTTGTGGGCCAATAATGGCCCCATGGCTATCCGGTCGAGCTCGCGGGTGGCCTTCGCGATGGCGAGGGTCTCCCACCGTTCAACATTCTGGGAGTTGAACTGCTGGGACTGATTCCCACGTCCTACCTATTCCTCCCAGGTCAGGATACAGAATTAGCGAGTCCTCGCGTATCCATGGAGCACGACCATTGCGCAGATATAAAGATCATTAAGATCGACAGTCAACTCCCACTCCCTGATCCAGTTTCTAAGAAGGGAGGCTTCCACAAGAATATAGTTAGCGCCCCGGCAGATTTTAGAGAGTACATGATTCAGCGCGCTCGGTCAACAGGGATATCAGATGGAGAAGTCTGTGTCGTGTCCACAAGGGGTATCATCAAGCCCGGTATAGAAATTGGCACAAGCTCATTGCATGGCAATTTCGATCCATCTCGAGGTCAGCACGGTCAGAATAGTCATAAGTGTCTATTAGATTAGACAATTAGCTGGCGGACGTGGAACACGGTGGAGAGTCCCCACTAGGTCATTGTTCGGCTGTTAGTATGCGTATATCTCCGTGTATATACTACACGTAAGTGTAGGTATTAGAAGATAATTTTCACCCACAGGCCTTGCCCACGATCATCGCGCTGGAGCCAGTTATGTCAATTTCAGACCTGTGGTACCATCCATCCAACCAGCACTTGGCTAGTGTATGCTCACCAATCCAGGTTACTTCGCAAATAAGCTCTTGCTTTGCTTTGCTGTACACCTCTCGTGCACTGTCACTGAGCTCTTAGATCCTCCTCAACGCACGATGTTAACGGGAGTCTGCGGCAATCTGCAGTCTCTCTTCAGTAATCTGGGAAAGCAAGATATATTATTGAAGAGAGAACAACACATTGAGTTGAATCAACGGAGAATCCTCAAACCCAGTCTGGATTGTCGACCGTATTTCTCCCTCCTAGCTCTCACAGGGCAGACCAGTCATTGGGTCTCCAGCCGATGGATCATAATCAACAAACCTATGCACAAAGGAATAGATCTCTGGACCGTCCTCGGGATGCGGGGATAGTCTAGATTGGTGATGTTAATAATTGCGAGTTCCTTGTTCGTATAATCAACCTGAAATTCTCTGCTATTCAACCGTTATTGATGGTCCCAGAGGCGAGTGACAACCTCAGAGTTCAGACATAGCGAAGTCTCGATGGAAGATCCTATTTCCCCTCGATTGTTGGTCAACTCTGATGAAGACCCAGTCGATGCTATCGGTTGCGATACCATAAAGTGGCATGTCTGGCCTGTTTGCACGGCATCCCGTTATACCTAACTATAAGTCCCATTATGTATCAACAAGACTATAACTCAAGTAAGTCGTATTGTATATTTGCGCAATAACATTAATACTTCCCATATACCATAGCCTGATGCCAGTCCATCTTTCCCACCGCATTGGCTTCCACAATGATAGTATTAGTCTCTGCTAAGTTGGCATCTTTATGCCAGAAAGAGTAATCCGTGTGGCCCTGTAAGAGGCGCTTCATCTTGCCATAGACCTGTTGAAACTTCTTATGTTGTAGATATGGCAATTTTTATAACCCCCACGATGAGGAAGAAGATCTGTGGCTATCCTGAAGAAATTAGAGCCGCTTGTTGACGGCTAGAATTGTGAGAAAGATGGCATCCAGCTGATACCTAATCAGGGCTTCATTCTGGTCAGAATCGCCCACAGCAATTTGAAAGTCAGCCAGGATAAATCCTTGTTAATTTTTACTTTGTTGGCCAAAGCCAGTAGTAGTCAATAGCAAGCCGCGGCTCACTCAGATAGTCTGGAGACGCCTTTCTTTAATGACTACATGCTATCTGTCATGCGCTCGGAAATGAAGGTTTTCCACTATCTGATATGGAATAAGTGTCTGTCTCTTGACTTTTTTCAAGAATTTGGTTATTCCCTCGCCTGTCTTCCGCTTTAGCTTCGACAATCATTATGTTGGTTTCAGTTGCATACTGGCTCTTCTCAGTGCCAGAATGGGTAACCTGTCTTCTCGTCCTGCATGCCATTAAATATGTCAATTTTGCATGGGCATCTTTGCCAATTTCCGAATTGCAGGTGCACTGGTTAAACGGACCCATCCAAATATCGACAGTCTGTGGATTATTCTGACCATATTGACACTTCCTAGCTGTTAGTCTTTCGATTAGGTTTTCCCAGCACCAAGATTTCTTCTCTTGACTCCCCATTGTATCTAAGTAAGCTGCTTTCAAGCCCCTAATATTCGATCAAGACCGCAACTGTGCTTGTGAAGCCATATTTCTCCTTGAAACCTCACCGATTAGAGCCATGGCGATGTGGCAGAAAGTTACTAAGAACCTCGAGGGCCGCCATAACTCCAATGTCTGGCAGTATTCTAGGAGCCGTCCTGTTGGATTCGTCCTCTCGCTATTTGCCTATAGCAGCTCATCTCATGAGCAGGCTCTTATTCCTTGCAGCATCCTATAAAGGTGTTAGGCTATGTGAGATTATGGCCCGGTATATTTGAGGGCTTAGTGCATGGACCAACACTGTGTCTCCTTCCCTTAAGGAGTCTACCTGTGTTTTCATGAGGAATCCCCCTTAGCTACTACATGTCTCCCGGTTTCAATCATTGTTATATCGGCGATTGGTCCGGACATAGCAGCCGCATACTTCCAAAACTGTTTGTTGAAACCCCCTCTCAGCTTCGGCAGACTTTTGGGATGGTCCTTAATCCCCCGTGTGGATTGACATAGGTCACCAGCCACATGCGGAAAGCTTCCTGGTCCGCCTCTTCCCTAAATCGAACGTCTTCGGTGCGTACTCCCGGACTTAGAGTTTGTACTCCATCTCGGGTCTGAACACACAGGCTAGCCTAGCTTCGGAAAGTCGATGTACTGAAACTTGCTGGAACTGGTAGTATCAATTTCATACATTAGTATGTGATTCGAGCAATACGTCCCTCTAGGGTTGCGACTAGACAAGTTCTGATCAAAGCTTCATTTTCGTATGAGCATTACTCCTTCCGACTGTTCACTTCAGAACTTATTCGATAAGCATGTAACCCCACGTCCATCCGTACTGTATCAGTGCGAATTGTGAAAAATGATCTGGATGGGAGGACGTAGCGTATCAAGCTATTCGCCTATACGGCGAGCATTGCAGTTTATCAGCAGATAATGCAACTTCTTGATAGCCATTCCAAGAAAGCTATGTCCCTATCAGTGTCGACTTCGAATCAACGAATTTCTTAGAGCTCTCATCGCGGGTAAATCATCCTCTGCTCATTAAAATATAGCTGTAAAAAATGTGTAGCTGGGCCTAAGGCACTCCATGCTGAATCTCGTACAGAGCAACTTGTGGCGCTGATTCTCAACGAAGACATCAATTCGATAAAGAGCGTTGCCTCTGTAGTGGATATGTTTAGTGGGTCGACCACTTCTGGGTCCTTTTCCCCATGGTTGGATCTTTTCTTTCAATTTTGCTTAAAAACTTACCCCTTGCATCATTTATCCAAATGGCCCAGTTTGGCACTGGTCGCTCTCACCCCAGATAGATGATAGATGAAACCTGGTGAGAGCTATGCTTTCGCTCTGTCTAATTGTTTGGTTTCGCTTGTGCTTTGCAGGGAAAAAGGAGCACTGATGCATTCTGGGTGGGTATTTCTACCAGATATATTTCGATGGCAGGTGGGTTTGAGGAGTATTACTTGCTGGCAGTTCATCTCTGTAGTACTCAAGTGTCCGAGTACCACTAGGAGCTTTGGTGTGTCTATCATGGCTTTAGCTGGTAGGGTTTATCTTATCGATGTTATATTATATGTTCTTATGGAACGATGTGTGGTTTATGGTAGTATTGGTAGGATACCCCGCTATATGAGACAGTTATTATATATGATAGAAGATATAATAAGAAAGCCAGGACTAACGCTGATGGAGAAGGAGGAGTAAAGAGGAAGGAAAGAAGTTGCAGTCCACAGGGAGAGGTGGGGTTTATATAGCCCGAATCAGAGCTACATGGGTGAATCAATGAATTCAATAGCAAAGAGTAGGTGAAGGGGTATATTGCTTGGGGAAGGGTGTAGATTGAAGGCGCAGGAGGGTATTTAGTGAGTGTAGTGACAAAGTTTCGGAGTGATTTCTGGGGCACTGCAGAACAAGAACCGGGTATGGCATCTGATAATCTCTAATCTTATCCCATCAGCTCCTATCTAGTTGATTGAAGAACTCTAATTCTATTATGTCTGGAACCTATTGTATGCAGCCTGGCTACTAAATAGTAACCATGACCCGACATCATGTTATCACCATATTAATCATCCTTCCTAGTAGTACGTATTACCCTTCTGCACAGAGATATATAGTTTAATTTAGTCTATACTATTCTCCAAACCTAAAGCGGCCGCCTCGATGCGTGTAGTAGCAGCTATGTAGATAATGCTCCCTGCAGGCCACAGAGATATATAAAAAGATCATGGCACTCCGCTCGTTTCCAATACCCCTGCTACCAGATGAATATCGGCATCGACTCCACGACCCTAATCTCGCCTACCAAAATGAATCGTTTTACCCTCCCCACTGTAATCCATTCAATCATATCTCCGTGCAACGAAGATATCGCCCGACGGACGTGCCCGGAGTTAAGGCCTATACCCGACTCGGGTGGGTCTTCGCCACAAACTCGGCTACTCGAGCATACACTTTACGGGAGATCAAGTCATTGTAGACCCTTGATTGCCGATGTTGGTGAAGCAATTGGAGGATAGATATCTTGCTAGTATGCATACCTGTCCTGTAACAGAAAAGATCTGGCCCACCCGATCGGGTCCTGCGGCATCTGATCAGGTTGATCAGGGAAATCAGGGCAGTTGCGGGTACATAGTGCTGGGTATAGCAGGAAGAAAACTTCTCACGGAACTGTAGTCAAGTTGTAATCGGACCCAACATTGAATGATTCATTCAACTTACTCCTAAACCTATATATACTTCGCCACTATTGTATTCGATATAACGCGTCGTTTACGAGTCCACCGGTATAGCCTGCAATGCAATCGTTCACAATCCCCCTATCGAACAATGCCACAGTGGCGGGCATACACTCGATCCCCAATCCGGCCGCATCTCCTCTTCATCGTCCATTGATCGTTGGCTTGCACGGTGGGACTTATGACTGCCATTATTTTGATGCCACGCCAGACTATTCCGCCTCCAGAGCAAGTATTGCTTTCGGCATCCCGTTCGTCTCTATTGACCGACCTTGCGTTGGTGGAACTAGCTCCTTTCTACCCGTTCCGGGAGGATCGAACTTCAATCAAGAAACTGGGCGCTGGTTGCATAAGCATATTCTCCCTGCTTTGTGGTCTGAATTCGGCAATGGTTGCAACTGCATTGTCCTTCTATGCCATAGCCTTGGTGTAATGGGAGGCATCGTCGCTGCAGCGATGCATGCACAGGATGAGAAGCCGCGATATCCGCTCGGAGGTTTGATTGTAAGTGGAATGGGTGACAAGGCGTCTCCATCGGCGAACAATTCTCCTCCACCCGTGTATGAGAAGGTCGGCTCGGATCATGTTGCGATGCCTGTGGATGTCAAGGATGTTATGATGTTTAAGCCGGGGACCTGTAGCCCAGAAGTTCTGGCTCACAGTGACCGCCTGAATACAGTAACACCTGTGGTGGAGTTACAGCAGTATCCAACTATTTGGCTTCCCACATGGCGCGACAGTTGGGCGAAGCATGTCGCAGCACCCGTTATGTTCGCACTCGTGGAAAACGATGTCGTCTTCGAGGCAAATGAGGAGGAAATCAGAAGCTGCACGGCAGCATTCGAAAACAGCGTGCGGGTTGATGGCAGTCTAGTCAAAGGCGCACCTCACTGCATGGAATTGAGCTATTGGTCGCAGGGGTGGTACGCCCGTTGCTTCGGGTTTGCGATGGAATGCTCTGTCAGTTTAGTCTGCTGAATTATAACTTACACAGTAAGCCTAGACTATAATCAGAAGCAAATTGATAGCACTATCGCACTGGATACTAAACACAGCCATAAGCACCTGGAATCCCGTTTAGGCAGCTGTGCGGCCGGCCGGTCGGATTGTACTCTGCGTGAGCGCATTGCCCTGACTCTGGCAAACACAAATTCCGCAAAAGCCGCAGTGAAAGATAGGCAAATTTGACACGAGCCGAATGATCAAACACAGCGACCAGAGCCGCTCATGCAAGGGACACTTCTACTCTGTTCTTGTTGGTGCTTGTCAATGCTTGTTGACGTAAGAGAAATTCTACCTCCATTCGAAAGCGGCTGGCTCGGTACATTGGGATTAACAAGGCAATTGACAGGATCAAGGCAAACCTTCAGAGTCAGCTGATTAACTCGGGCGTGGGATGTCAGTAAGCTGAGACCCCGAAAACAGCGTGCCCGTAGCTGAGATGCCCGATAGGGCTACCTTACATTAGGCGAGGGGCTCGAGGCCAATGTAGGTTGCTTTGCAGTGCCCGGCACCAGTTTTAGTGCAAGATAAGTGCGCATTAGTAGATGCAGCATTGGCATATTTACCTGCATCCATGGTCCCATTGTGCACACGCGGTTCTCGGAAGAGAGTAAGAATACCCGTCGAACGAGTTAGAAGGCTAGCAAGGATCCAATCCATATGCAGGCTGACCAACATGAGTCTGATGTCAGGTATCGTCGCTAGGGATAGGCCAAAGTGCCTTCAGCAACTGCTTCATGCTACCTATCTACTTGATGCCTCAGTACTGAAATCCAGCGAGGGGTCAGTTCAGGATACCATGAACCACTCGCTCAAGCTTCCGTGTTCCAAGCTAGATCCACTCACAGAAAGGCTAAGAGCTGCGTCATTTGACTGGCATCTGGAATACGTTGACCGCTCTGACAAAAGGGGCAGTGTCTGACCACCATTCTGCGCGCCCTCGATAAGGAGTCTCGCAACGGGTAGACTGGGTCGACGAACCGCATGAGGCCTCGATACAAACCTGGGTGCCTCGGCGCACCATCATGGCCAACCGTGGCCCCTAACTTGCTTCGCCAACGCTTATTGATGAAGGATCGCGGCCATGATCAACAGGAGCGCCACCAACGGACCCTGCAGTAGTTAGAGGCAATCCAGACGAGCAGAGATTGCAGGATCAATAGAACCAGGGGCAGCCTTTGATTTGGATCAGCAAAACTATTTCGCAAGGCTCAGGATACTATGCAGTGATGTCGTGCCGAGACAAGAATAATAGTAAAAGGACTAGGGTAGAGAGGAGGCTGCTGCCATCGAGAAGACTCCAAGCAGGCACGGGCTTGATGCTCGAATGTCATTGGCTCCCCTGAACTGAGTAACAGCGTCCCGAGTAGGAAAGTCCGGGGCCGAGTGACAGTCACCTTGACTCGGTGGTATCTAGCATCGTTGCCTGGAAGCAACACACGAGCTGGCATCGGATATGTCCGCTGGAACACAGCAGATGAAAGGAGGTGATCTGACTAGCAGTCAGCCATAGCATTCCGTCGGTGTCCGGGAGCGAAAATGACCCACGTTTCTCGTGGTCGACATACAGCCACGTACCAGAGATCATTCCCGCAAGGGATAGCTACGGCATATTCAGCGACCATGTGGGATACCATCCGACACGTCCATCCACCACTGACACGCCTGGACCATATGGAGCCACTATCCGGCCTACAGTGGAAGTTGACAGATTGGTGACGAGTATGCCCGGGTACCAGAGTATGCGTTGATTAGAGTTTCAGAGAGATGTGCGTAAATACTAGGTTGGCAACACCGGGCCGGTCGTTATCGACAAGCAACAGCACGGTGTCCCGCAACGTGATCGCTAGACGCACTCCCACTGGCTGATGGTTGCGTCTAAGCGCCAAGATCCCCTCGGTTTTAAGCAACTAATCTTAGGAGATCGACTAGTAGACTAGGAGTCGATATGCATCCTCCATGTCTCTGCCGCACCAACATCGAGCAAGGGTACGTAGGTGGTATCTAGATCGGCCATGACAGACGACCGTCCGTCCGTCACAATAGTTAGTGAGGCTGTGTCGACTGGCTCATTCTTTCCCTCTTAATGTGTCATTTCAAAAGGGAGGGAACAAGATTTGCGACACTATGCAATTTTGACTCGAGAGATCTGTCAGCATCAAGATTATGCAAGGGAGAGGCTGAGAAGTCAACGAACTTTGTGGTGAGTATGGGGAGAAAGCGGCCAAATGGGGACGTGCGTGGTAGCTAGTGGTCGTGTGAGGTTTCCAACCGTCAATGATAGGAACCCCTCCTTCTCCATGTCAGCCAAAAAAAGTTTCCCCCACCTCATGATCATGAAGCAGAGCGGTTACTCCGCAGGGTTAGCCGTGTGTAGCGTAGGAAATCGAATGAGTTGTTGGCTGTGGCCGCAATGCTCACTTGGCCTCCTTCCCTTCTGGGTAGCCAGCCAGCGTGGAGAGAAAGACCAGCTTATGCCCGCTTATGCGTTTGCTGCCACCCCATCAACCGAATGCAGACCTGCTGTCCTCTGATTGGTGCGGGTGGGGATGAGGGTCTTTCATTCTAGAAGGCGGTATCAGACGATCCGGCGGGATTTGGGGGAATTCTGCCACCACGTGCGCCGTTGATTGGCCGGCGGCACAAGTTCGCGTCCGGAAGATCCCCGCCGACTTTCCATTAATCATCGCACTAAAACTAAAGTATCTTTTCTACTTTAGTTCCGCCGCCACTCGACCCGATGTGGGCTGCTTTAAAAAAGTGCTGTATCCATTGGAGATGCAGTCATGGACTAATGTCAATTAGGCAATAAACCACGAGATCTATCTCCAATACTGCAAGTAAGGGGAGACAGAATGATGTTGTGCTCGTGGTGGGTGTTCAGACCCTGAAGAAGAAGCTTACCTCTGCGTTCTGCAGTGTTACCATCCCCCAGTGTGCTGTTGTGTTGGGCGAACAGAACCCCGGCACACACAGAGTAAAAAGAAAAAGAAAAAAAAATTATGCTTTCGAGGCTCGTGGGAAGTTTCACCCGCTTCTAGGGTTGCTTGGCCTTGCACCAAGAAGGTGGTTCTGGGCAAGATGGGGCAGAGTTGCCTGCCATTCACCACTGACACGGCAGCCTCGACTTCGGAGGCCCAGTGGAACCCGCCACACTAAGTAGTACGTTGGATCTTCTCCGCTACCCAGACCTGCTTTTGGCTTATCACGTTCCACCATTCGGACATGTGCCTGGAGCACGCTGGTGGGCTGGTTCTGGTCCACGCCTGCCCAGAGATTTTCCTTTTGCCGTCACCCTCCGAATATAAGTTTCGACCGCTGGCCGTTGTCCGACTTGGCCCGCATCGTGTGTGACGCCTTCATCACGTTCAATCCGAGCTTGCTCTCTCGTCCTCCTCCTCTCCTCTCTTAGGAGAATACCCTCAACGGACGTCTCAAGCTTTCTCGCGTCCACCCCTCTTTGTCGTCAATTCCCCGGACTGTCGGACCACTTTTCGACTGGTCCTTCGACGACGCCACCATGACGGACTTCGGCCTACGCGCTCCTCATGGGCCCGACATGTCGGGAACCCATAACCCTCTTGAGGATATGGATATTCACGAGAAGGGCGCTTTTGACGCCCTCATTCGCCCCGACGACAGCTATACTCCCGATGGCACATATTGGGCCGACCTGCCGCTCCTGAAGCGGATCAAGTTCGTCGGTTCCTACGACGCCGCAGAAGCCAAGCGGGAACTCAGTTCGATTTGGCAAATGACAAAGGAAGATCCTCTCTCGCCCATCTCGTACTATTTCCGAAATATGGTTCTTCCTGGTGCTGGTCTGGGTCTCGAGGGGTACGTATTTGTCTAGTCACCGGCCGAAAACGCGTTGTACTCACATTTTTCTCTTTAGTTACGTTCTGTTCTCTATCGGAAACATCAAACCCTTGTTCGAGGCCTCTTTCAAGTCCTGCTGGGATGATCATACGATTTGCAACAAACAATGGATCAACGCGGTCGACTATCTCGAGATTGTCGGTATCATTTTCGGCCAAATCTTGGTCGGAATTGTCGGTGACTGGTAAGTTCTCGATTCCAGAGAATGCATCGCGGCAATAATAGCTAATTGATATCAGGCTCGGCCGTCGTTGGGGTCTTATTCAGGACGCTGCAATCATGTTGCTGGGTTTGGTGATGCTTACCGCTGCTTGGGGTGTCACCGAGAACGGCTGGGTCATTTGCTACGCTTGGTCATTGTTCGTCTACGGCATAGGTGTTGGTGGTGAATACCCCATGACTGCCACTAGCGGTATGGAAAACGCTGTCGGCTCCGGAAAGGTCTCGACCAAGGAGGACCGCCTCCACCGTGGTCGCAAGGTCACCAGTGCTTTCTTGATGCAGGGTTGGGGTCAATTCTTCAACCAGGCCATCCTGATCATTCTGCTGCTCATCTTCCACCACGGTAGCGGTAACCCGCCTTACTCTTCAGTAGCTACCCAGTGGACCTACCGCATTTCTTTCGCCATTCCCGCTGTCGGCACCTTGTGGCTGGTGTACTACCGTGCCTACCACATGAAGGCTGCCAGCAAGCAGCTTGCTGCGGCTAAGAAGAAGGCTTCTGTTACTGGATACGATGTCAACTCCTTGAAGCTGACTTTCCGTTATTTCGGTTTCCGCATTATCGCTACTGCCGGTGGCTGGTTCGCCAACGATGTCTTCTTCTACGGCAACAAGCTTTTTAGTTCCGAGTTTATCGAGGTGCTTAGCCCTGGAAGCAAATCTATCATGCCAACATGGCTTTGGAGTTTGTGCAACATCGGTGTGTCATTGGCTGGTTACTACTGTGCTTCTTTCCTTGTCGACAACAAGCTCTACGGTCGTAAGTGGATGCAGATGATCGGTTTCCTCATGTGCTTCATCCTCTTCGTCGTCCCTGCTTTCCACTATGAGTACTACACTCAGCCTGAGAACGTCCACGCTTTCCAGGCGATGTACTTCTTGAGTTCTTTCTTCAACCAGTTTGGACCCAACTCTGTCACTTTCCTTGTGGCTGCTGAGGTGTTCCCGACTCCCATTCGTGCGACAGCCCACGGTCTCTCCGCCGCTTGCGGTAAGAGCGGTGCACTCCTGGCTTCCGTCTTGTACAACTACATCGACACCCAGACCAAGTTCTACGTTGTCCCTTGGTTCGGTCTTGGTGGTATGGTCTTGACTCTGTTGTTCCTGCCGGATACCACTGGTCTTGATCTGAAGGAGCAGGAGCGTCGCTGGCAGTACATCCGCGACGGCCGCGAGCAGGAGTACCATGGCCCTGCCATTCACTCCAAGCACCTTTCCCTCTGGGAGCGTTTGACGGGCGTCGGAAAGAACTACAACGCTGAGCTCGACTACAAGCACAAGGTTGAGGAGTACCGTGCCGAGTGGGAGGCCGCCATGACCGCCAAGATCTCCGAGAACGAGAAGGGCGAGGACTTCGTGCAGGACACGGATGACTCCCTCCTGGAGGGCCATGTCCATGCCTACTTCCACCGCACCAGTCCCATGTTCCGCCCGATGGAACAGACTGCCACCAAGACGGATAATTTCGCGCTGCCTCCCGCGGCGCAAGATTCGTCTACGGAGTCATATAACGAAAAGTCCGAACTATAAATGGCGTTCTTCTTTTCTTTTTTTTCTTTTTGGGTGTTCATTTTGGAAAGCGAGCATGTGTGATTGATTGGATGTGGCACGTCAGATTTTGGATGATGATGATGACACGCATTCCATTTTTGCATTCTTAGTACATTGTTTTTTCCTTGTCAGCTGTCGAGCGAGAGATGCCTTCATTCCTTTCGTCTTGCACTCAATACCCAGGTACATACATGGTACTCGTTAGTATATAGACTTGATTAATATATACACCCATGAAGTGATAGTTCACTCAATGATATGGGATTCTCTACATACAACATCGCTCCATATATTCATCCACCCAATCCAAACGTTCCATGGTACAACGCGTAGTATCTCATGTAACCTACCTACATCACGATCGTGACACCTACCGAGATCTCCATCCGATCCCTGCCAGCGCAACGCAACGCAACGCGCCCCGCCCCGCACGCATGCATTCTGCCGGAGGACATCCCACCAGATCCTCCAAATAGGCAGGCGATAAGAAAAGCGGTGTCGTAACTGGCATCCTTTTCCCCTCACATCAACACATCACCTTAAACGCATATTCTTTCATATTCATAATTTTACTATATGTCCTACTTTACAATATAATCACTCAATCTACTTTAATCCTCCTCTAACACTCCAGACCTAACCATCTCGACACCTTCACCAATTGATCCCCCCAACACAGACACAAACACAGACACAGAAACCCCACCTCCACCGAGAAAAACAGAAGAGGATCATGCCCCTCTACGCCTTCGGCTCCAACGGCTCCGGCCAACTCGGCCTCTCGCACACAGAAGACGTCTCCGTCCCGACGAAATGTCTCTTCGATGATGACCAATACCACACCACCACCGCTTCCTCCTCATCCTGCTCAATCACACCAACGATATCCCGCATCGCAGCTGGCGGAAACCACACCCTTGTTTTGTTCTCCGATGGGAGGGTATATGCGGCGGGGTGTAATGAGGATGGGCGGTGCGGGGGTAGATTACCTTCGGGGAGTGGGGATGGGTATGAGGAGGTGGTGAGGTTTCGGCGGGTTGTTGTGAATACTTCCGATGGTGATGTGGGAGAGGAGGAAGAGGAGAGGTTTACAGACGTGTCAGCTACATGGGAAGCGACGTTCCTGGTGTCTGGGAGGAAAGTGTATGTCCTAGGAACCGGGGGGAGGGGGGAGTTAGGGGTTGGGGAGGGGAAGAGCAGTGTGAAAGAAGGGGTTGGGTGCATTGAGTTCGAAGATAAAGTCATCAGTATAGCGAGCGGGATGGGACATACGGTTGTTGTGCTGGAGGGAGGCCAGGTGTATGGGTGGGGAGGGGGGAGGAAAGGGCAGTTAGGTGCTAAGGGGAAAGAAATCAAGGTTGCGTGGGAACCTGTTAGGATTGACGAGGAGGAGATAGGGTTCCGGGCGACGGGGGCAGCGTGTGGGAGGGAGTTTACGGTTGTGCTTGGGGATAAAGAGAAGGGGCAGTTTGTTGTGCTGGGGTCGCCTGGGGATAAGTGGGGGGTTATGTCTGGAGGGAAGGAGCCTGTGGGCTGTTTTCAGGGTATGCAGACGAGTTGGCATGGGGTTTATGTACATTGTTCTGATGGGAGGGTTGTGAGTTGGGGGAGGGATGATCGGGGGCAGTTGCCGCCGGGGGAGATGGGGTGGTGAAGGGGTTGGCTGTGGGGAGTGAGCATGTGCTTGGACTTGTGGATGGGACGACGGTCGTGGCCTGTGGTTGGGGAGAGCATGGTAATTGTGGTCCTGAGACGGATGCGCAGGGGAATGTGAAGGGGGTGTGTTGCCAGATTCCTTTGCCGGATGGGGTTGGGGAGGTTGTTGGGCTCGGTGCGGGCTGTGCCACGAGTTGGGTGATTACTCGGGATTGAGGTAGAGGCACTCATGCTGAGGGAGGTTCTCTTCATAGTCTGGTGTAGGGTGGCTGTTCAGTCGAAGAGACCAAGGCCGTGCAGCTACGGGTTGTCAGCACGATCAATAGATGCGAGCGCGCTCGACTTACCTGGGACATGCGCTGAGTGGGCGGGATGCCCATCTCTTCCTCCTCGTGGCTCGTCTGTGCCATTCGGGGTTCGATATCCCGTAGCCCAGGGCCTGTGCTTGTCTGTTGGGGTTTGTCAGTCAGAAGGTTGAAGCAGACGGTGGATTGAGCCATACCTGCTCTCCAGTGGCATCCCAGCCGAGCTCGTCTTCGACCGGACCTTCATCTTCATCATTTGGCACGTCCCATTGCCTGTCGTCATCCGCTGGAACGAACAGACTGTCGAACTCCATCGATGGCGGCGGTTGTTGGGTCTCGGTATTGGATTGTGAAGCCCGGGTAGAAGTCCCAGTGAGTGGCCGAATTGACCGACTGCGGGGAGGAGGCATTTGTGCGGTCTCTGGAGCTGTGTTCCTTTGGCTTATCTGCACGGGGGCAGGAGTTTGACGTGCGGATAACTGGGGCGCTGCTCGAGAGGAGCCAGGAGCGTCCTCTCCGGGTGAGTCTCCTCTAGTCATCAGCGTGAACTCGGTTTTGATACCCTCGGATTCGTAGGCGAATTGCAAGGGACGAGATGGACGGGTGAATCGGGCGGTGATTTTTGCATTTGCTGTCTCAGCATGTGCTATTGCCGCCTTGAAGTCTTTCATGTGGATGGCCACGTGGAGATGGTCTTCCGCTAAGTAGTAATCGAAGTCCCTTTTCTCAATAGCTACGGAGGTGTGCACCGGCTGGCGAAGGATTTCTTTGACAATCTGTGAGAATGGAGGTAATTCATAGAAGGGCGGGTAGCATTACCTTTTCCGTCTGAGCTTTTCGTGGTGAAGCTGGTGAAGACGGCCTTGCCTTGCTCGGAGTAGATATCTAGATGCTCTGCCGAGGGACCGAAATGATCTGTTATCTCCTTTAGGTACTTTGGTTCGATGCTCCATTCGTTTGTCGCTTTGGATCTGTCGAATATGGCATGTTGTACATGGATAGGTTCATATGTTAGCTTGTAGAGCTTGATGACGCCTAAGAGGACTGTAAGCTGGAGCCACAGATGAGCTTGGATTGGGTTGATCGGAGCCTTACCAAGTCCACATATTAATCTGATGACGAGTCGACACTCGCTTTCATCTAGATCTTCTTGGAGCTCAACCTCGCACCGTTCGACAGAAGTATCCTTATCACGTCCACTCGTCTTCCCTTTGAAGGCTGATAGGAGGGCCTATTGTATGTCAGCCAGAGGATGAGACTACATAGTACGTAGATTCTCACCTTGATCAACACCTGACAGCTGAACTTTTCCGGATGAGCAGTTCTAGATGAGCTGCCATTACTCACTCTACCAAAAGAGTAATTTTCGAAAAAGCCATCCGCCTCGAAGACGAACGCAGAGTAGGCCGTCTTAGTGGAATTGAGCACGCTTAAACGGAGCTTGGTAACATTTTAGCTTAGTTCCGGCCTTACTTAATTAAGACATAAGCTTACCAGATCAATTTCAGCTTCTATTGCCACACTATCGTCGAATTTTGCTAGACACATCAGAGCATCATGTAGTTGGTATATCGCCTTCGGGGCGAGCGAGAACGAGAGAGTTGTCATGTTTATTTAGGACAGGAACAGCATATCCAGCTGTTAGCAATGTTATGAAGTCTCTTGATAATATAAAGCTTATCTGCAGCGATACCCACGTTCAACCCTCAATATGGCTCCTGGATCTTGTTGGGATCCTGTCACTCGGTCACGGCAGATCGCAAACACGACGCGAGCTTACATAAGCGGCACTGTACGGGAGGCGCCTTGCTTCCTCAGTCAGCTCCCAGGAGACCACTGAGCATCAATCCTCGTGATGCTGTATTTGAGACGCTAAGGCAGAGATTGAACGGAACTAATTTGGTTGGCTGTTGTGCTATCTGTCTTGAAGGGGTCAGTTTCCTGGTCTCGTGAAGATGGCCTTCGCGTTAGCCGGTGACGTACTCTATATGATCTTGGATATCCTGGGCGATGAGAAGGATTACAACAGCCTTTTTCAATGCGCTATTTCTTCCAAATGCTTTACTGAGCATTCCTTGGCGGTATTATACAAGTGAGTCTCCATATATTGATGCAATGGCGCGTTGGTGGTGGAAGCTGATGATGACAGGTTATGTGATACTTCGCCTGTGAGGGGCGGAGGTACAGAAGACGAGCAGTTTAGGTCTCGGAGAGTAGCCACCGTTTGGTCTTCCAAAGGCGAACAGGATCCAGTCATACGAAAATGGGCCTTATTATGGCGTTCTGTTATCCTGTCTACTTTGGACCAAACTTACCTCCCGTACTATAGCTATATCCGCTATCTTGATTTGGATGACTTCGGGGACCTCCTTAAGGAACCGCGATTTACGAAGACGATGAAGGAGTATGTTCCCGCTACCAACTACATGTCATTCGCTGTTTGACATTCCTAGTGATTTCTTTACCCCAGAGCTGTTGGAATTAGTATCCCACGACTACGAAGTCAAGGGATCCAAACGACTCCGTTCGTCAAAAGCCTATCCTGACAATGATTGGGTCATGGTGAAGATTGGCACAGGTCGGTCTCTCATCCTTTTCGGCTAACCTGATGCATTACTATATCGTCGTAAATCCTCGGTGCTGACATCTGAAAGCAATCATCCAGAAGACTAGGTCAATACGAGGAATGTCTTGTAACGGTAGTCTCCATCTAGGCTCCATGAACTTCCTTAGTCGGTCCAGAGATGTCTGATCGCTCTCTAGTACCACCGGAAACCCTTTCTGCATGGATCGAGGGGTTACCCTTGCTAAAGTCCCTCACAATCTGGTCTGGGGATGCCTTGAGCCAGCATGCTGGCGATAAGATCCGCCACCACTCTCCTGATTTCAAACAGCTTACATTATATGGGTGGTATGTCTTTGCAGCGAGAGTTGGCCTGTGATGCTCACATATAGAACAGGAAGAATGATCCACCAAGAAACGCGGAGGCTGACTCTGAACAATTTCTGACCGAATTGCGCCCCAATACGCTAGAGTACTTCGAAGTACTCAGCTACTCTCAGCTGGGGCCTCGCTCTATCAAATCACTAGCCCTGCATCTGGAATCTCTTGCTGAACTGAAGCTTACGAGTCTTACCATCGAGACGATTGCAGAACTGCCCTCACTAACGGCAGCGCCAGCCTTGAAAGTACTGGTACTGACTGACTCAATACCGGCTACGCGAGACGAAAACTTTTACGCAATTGTCACTCGAGTTGCTGAATGGATATGCAGTTGCAAGGCTTTGCAACGCTTGGAACTCAGACGATTTGTCGACGACTCTTACCTATTATCGCAGGTCCTACCCCATGAAGGGCTCCATCTAACAACGCTATCTTTGTCCGGGTATGCAATGGCGGACAGTCGTCTTTTCCACGAGGCTCTGGCTAGCCAGCGAACTTTGGAAAATCTTTACCTTCGCGGCGAAGGGAGCGAGTTTCCACCAGGCAACGAAATACTTGCAGATGTGATAAGCCAGCTCAGCAACCTCCGAGAGCTGGAACTCAAGGATATTTCTGACGGCTTTACTACAGACCATGTGGCTTACATGGCACACATGCTCCCTCATCTCGAGAGACTTTGGATAAGCGGCGAATTCTTCGATGATACAACGCTGTCTGCGTTCCTGGATCTACCAAGCCTCCAAAGCCTTTCCATCCACGCCTTCAGCAACTTCACCGCCGATGGCATACTCTCTTTCATTTCACAATTGGGGCCAAAAAACAGAGGCTTCAACCTGGCTATCCTAAACGCAGTCGATAGCACTCTTACCGAAGAAGCGCAAAATGTAATCCGCGAGACTCTGAAAGTGAGTTTAGATGGGACATTCGACTATGGTTTGGCTCAGGGTAAGTTGACTGGCTGGTACTACCGCATGCCCGGTACTACCGCAATTGGAAGCGCTGACAATCAGTAGAGGAGGACAGTGATCTGGATTCAGATCAGATGTCGGACTAGACGGCAGAGTACTATCTAGGCGCCGGACAACTAATTTCATGAGGACCACTGGCAGTACGAAATTGGAGAGATTGTAAATGCGAACAACGCTATCTTTTAAAAAAAATACTTGGATAAGTTGAATCTAGTCAGAAACATTTCATGTTTTCCATGTAGAACCTCAAGGGCTTTTCATGTGTCTGTAGTGTTAGGCTGCTTACTGAAATCGGCAAACAAACCACTTAACAGGGATTGGCGGAGGGCGCGTCTTCACCGCGTCCCGCACGCGTTACTTTCTCCTCCGCGCGACGCCCGCCTTTCGGAGTTACAGTAGCAACCAGCACCGTCAACCAGCCCCTTCCCCAATTCACACTCCCTATACCCCATTACGGGTCCTTAACCGATCAACCCACAGAAATACTTTCATGGACACATAGTATCTGTGGTAGAAGACCACCAGTGCGCCATGTCTGCTTCCCGCGCCAAATTGGCGGAGCTGCGCGCCCTTCGCGCCGCAGGAAAGAAACGCCTGTCGACATACGAAATTGAGGAACAAGGCGACATCTACGAGGAGGTTGACGATGAGGGCTACAAGAAGATTATCCGCAACCGGCTTGATCAGGATGACTTCGTGGTCGACGATAATGGAGAAGGTTATGCCGACGACGGTCGCGAGGTGTGGAATGAGCGCACCGCAGACTACGGCGACAGCGAGAGCGAGGACGACGGATTACCTGCCCGGGGCAAGGCTGCGAAGAGAAAGCGTGAGGAGGAAAAGCAACGACAGGAGAAGATCAATAATGGCATCTCAAAGTATTTCAGCAGTGGGGCTGCGCCCTCTGCTCCCAAGCCGAAGGTAAGTTATCGAAGTCATCCATTGAGCACGAATGGCTCTCTAATATGTTGTTCAGCCGGTCGCTACTGCAGAAGACGACGCTTTCATGGCCGATTTGCTCGGAGAAGTCGATACCAACGTGGTCCCGCATCGTGTCCCTACAAGGAATATAGTCAAGACTGAGGCTCGTCGCAAAGTTCGCATCTTGTCACCCCCGCTCGCCGATAGAACACGCAGAGAGAAGCCGATAAAGAGGGACGAAAACAGTGACCCTGTTTCGCCGGTCAAGGATCAACCAGAGGTCAATTTCGACGACGACGATGGCGCGCTTCCTGGCATGGATGATGACGACGTTCCCATGAGTGACCCGATGCCATCGTCTCCCATCAGCAAAGCGGTAGAGAGGAAGTCGACCACAACACCTGTCAAGGTCGAGGAGTTTGACGATGATGATAATGATATCATGGAGATCGCACAAGTCACTGGTCAGAACGACGCTAAGGCGACCAGCGTCAACATGGCCGGAAGCCGGCCTCCGCCCAAACTCAAGAGGGAGAGCACTCCGCCTCTGGCTAGCTCCTCGCCTACAAAGCCAATGCCAGAGGTGGACGCATCTTGGAATAACGTAAGAAGCAAGCTGAATGTTCTCAGCAGCCCTGCGTCGTCGGAAATGCGTAGCTTCGGTAAGCTTCGTGCCCAGGATGTCGTCGAGGAGGACGGAAGTCTGCGCATGTTCTGGCTGGACTTTACAGAAGTCAACGGCAGTCTTTGCCTGTTTGGAAAGGTGAAGAACAAGCAAAATGGTTCTTATGCCAGTGCATTCGTCAAGATTGACAACATCCTGCGCAAGCTCTATTTTCTTCCCCGAGAGTATCGGCACAAGAATGGGCGAGAAACGGATGAAGAGGTAGACATGGAAGATGTTTATCATGAAGTCGATGGTATGATGTCTAGGCTGAAGGTAGGGATGCACAAGATGAAGCCCTGCACACGCAAATACGCTTTCGAAATGCCTGGTGTCCCGAAAGAGACCGAATACCTGAAGCTCTTTTATCCTTACGACAAATCTCCGTTGCCAATGGATGTGAAGGGCGAGACCTTTTCGCATGTATTCGGCACAAACACGTCACTGTTCGAGCAGTTTGTTCTCTGGAAAAACATCATGGGCCCTTGTTGGCTCAAAATCGAAGAGGCTGATTTCACTGCTGTCAACAATGCATCTTGGTGCAAGTTTGAATGCCAAGCAGCAAAGCCAGCGCTTATTTCTCCTGTACCTGACTCCGAGAATCTAGAAGCGCCTCCTCTGACGCTTATGAGTCTCTCCTTCCGAACCCAGCTCAACGTGAAAGAGAACAAGCAGGAGATCCTCGTGGCGAGTGCAAGAGTATATGAAAATGTCTCCCTCACGGATACCACTCCGCCGGAGCGGTTGCCCTGCAAGACTTTCACGGTCATGCGGCCTGCAGGCTCTTCATACCCGATGCACTTTGAAGCCGAAACGCGGAAGCAGAGGGGCACATTCATGCTGGAGAAGAGCGAACAGTTTCTGCTCAGCAAGTTCCTGGCGTTGTTCGAGAAAATGGATCCCGATGTTCTGATGGGACATCAGCTTCAGGAGGTTGACCTCAGCATTCTACTCAGCAGATTGAGGGAGAAGAAGACCCCTGGCTGGCATCGCCTTGGACGGTTGAAGCGCGGCGACTGGCCCAAGAACTTTAACAGAGGTGGAGGTTTCTTCGCCGAGAGGCATCTGATTGCGGGAAGACTGATGTGCGATGTTGCTAATGATATGGGCAAGGTAAGTTTCTAAGGTTTACTCTTCTGATTCAAGGCGACTTTGGACTAATGATTGAAAGTCTCTGATGATGAAATGTCAATCTTGGAGTTTAACGGAGAT